GTAGAAAGTGATGTGTCTGATTTTTCTTAAAAATTGATCTTTAGTGCTATCTTTCAACTCATTTGTTGTAACACCTTACCAGGGTATAACCTAAGACTTCCAGCAGCATTTCAGATACTGAATTGAATTTGTATAAAACTTGGTTATTGAACGCTTGTCCAGTACCCCTTACCTGTTAAACATGTTATTTATTTCCTACATCATCTTTAGATTATTGGGAGATGATTTGGTGTATTGCTGAACTGTAAATCTTGGTGAGACATGCAGATAAAGCTGTTAGGTTTTTTTTAAAAAATAGTTTTACATTAGAAGTAGAAAGACTCAGTGCATGGGTGGCTCACCACGTCTTTCTAAACTTACAATCCTCCAGTTGCCACACTATGGAAAAAGATTAAAGAAAACTGAAATGTTACCTCAAAAGAGTTACACTGCTGGAGGGAAGCTAATCAGCTATGGTAGTAATTAGCATATTTTTTTAAAGGAGGGAAGCTTTTATGATCCCCAAATTATCCAAAATCTCTGTCAGCTAAGCAGAGATTCCAATCTGGCTATGCGTCAGATCACTTTTAGAACTTCACAGAATGCTGGCTAGAAACTTGTTGAGTACAATAAGTCTGTGCGTTTGAAGAATATGGAGTAATACTCATCCAGGCAGAGGCACTGAGTTAGAAAGAGCTGGTTGGAGGTTTTGAATGTCTGGTCTTGGAGTAGAACAGATTGAGAAATAGCCAATGTTAATAGATGATATATACATATGGTCTATAGAAAGCATAAGGATAGCAGCTGTTCTATCTCAGAGCAGTGTATGATATGATATACAAATGGTAGGACATTTTATTACATGAGCTGACCACCCAGAAAGCACAACCATTTATCATTATTTCTTGGCCTTGAATCTAGATCCTCCTCACTTAGGTTTTACTCTCATCATCTTTCGTGTGTAAGGATGGGAATTTTAATTTCTTTTAATTTACTTTAGTATATTTTCTTTGTATCTTATTTGTTTCATAAAGGGAGAATACTTTTTAGTCTAAAATGTTTTCAAGATCACAGGGTACAAGACCCTCACAGGTAACTTCCATGCTTTTACCCGGTTTCACATATCCACAACATGATAATTTTGGGGGGCATTTACTTAATGATTCCCATATGAGTCCTTTTCTTCCCATCCACATAACTGTGTGCTAAGTGGCTGATGGATTAGTCCTATACATATATATTGTTACATAGCACTTTGTAACAAATAATTTTCTGGGAAAATGCTAATATAATGATTAATACATTGGGAGAGTTAATCAGGACATGTACTAAAGGCTTAAGTAATTATGACCAAATGAGAAAAGAACATTAAGTTCCTGAGGACATTGAAGCCATTATAGACACTCTTTGCTTACAATCATATGAATTCATATAGACACATTTTAAGACATTAAAATAGTGCTTATGAACTCTAATAATTTAAAATAGTGACTCTACTTATGAACTCTGCAGTCTTATTCAGTTCTCTAGAGAGTAGACAAAAAACAGTTCTCACCTTCAACTAGTTTAGCTATTTATTATGAATATGTCAGAACTTAATCAGAATTTAAAATTTTATTTAAAATTATCAGATGCAATTATGATTTTTGAAAGTAGAAAAGACTTTAATCATCCTATGTTTATATGTGTGTATATATATATGATAAAGATTAGAGCTTATAAGTAAACTTAACAAAATTGCTATAAGTCAATATAAAATAATTTTGCATTATTTTGCATAATTTTGAAATAGAATGTAAAATTAGAAGATCAACTGAAGTGTTACCAATGAGCAATAGAGAACAAACTAAAATGAGTGTGCCAGATGCTGTAAACCATGTTACTTAAGAATAATGAAGGAAAATACCAAGAAATGGGGATGGATCATAATCACTGAAAGAGGTGGGGTTTTTAAGCCTGTTACTTCTTGTAAAGCTCAGAATTATGGAAACTGATTGGAAAATTTTCTTGGCAATGAATGATTCATAAGTAAAAGTTCTGTATTTAGCTCACTGAAAAAGAGTAAGAGACTTGGGGTGGATGGGGGGAAGGGTTAGGGTGGGAGAGGAGGAGGGGATAGGAACAGGGGTAATGGAGAGGGAGAGGAACTGAGGGAGAGAGTACTGGGAGAGACAATGGGATTAGAGGTTATCTCTAGGACAAGCTAGAGCAATGGAAACTCCTAGGAATCCATGAGGGTGCCTCTAGCTAAGACTCCTAGCAATGGGGACACGGAGCCTGAACCAGGCATTTCCTGTAACCCAGCAAGATGTCCAATGGAGGGATTGGGACACTGACCCAGGGCCAAAACCTTGACCTACAATTTGTCCTACTTACAAAATGTACAGGGATAAAAGATGCAGAAGAATTTGAGGGAATTGCTGTGTCTGACTACATTGCCTGCCTTTGGATCCCTTTCTCCTAACTGGACTGTCTTGTCTAGCCTCAACAGAAGACAGTGCCCTAGTAGAACTGCAACTTGATATGCCAAGACTGGTTGATATCCATGGGAAGCTTCCCCTTTTCTGAGGAGAATGAATGGGGGAGTGGATGTGGGCAGAAGGGGGGTGAGAGAGAGCAAGGGGCGGGGAGAAGGAATGGTAAGCTATGATGAGGATGTAAAGTAAATAAATAACTGAATAAAAAAAACTAAAAAACATTCTGTATTTAGAATAGCTGAAATACAGTCTAAGATAAATGCAAAATATAATTGGAATTCATTTTTAGTATACCTTTTAGGGTGACAGAAGGCTTTTAGCTTTAGTTTTGTTACTGTTAATTTACATTGAACAGAAAGATTATAACTGCATAAGGAGTATATGGCTGAACAAGGATGGGACAATCTATGTGTTCCTTTTTTTAATTGAAAAATCCTCAACTATTTGTAGTTTATCAACTTTTCAAAAATGACTGTTGCACTGACACATTAAACGCGGAGTTGGCAGAAAATGTTGTAGTCATAGATTCAATATTTTGATATACATAAGGTAATTGTAAGGGTGACGTAGAGCCGCGTTTCCTTCCAAGTATGATCTATTGATTGTGTTGACTTCATTTCAAACGACTCTGGTTGCAGGTTGGTTACCTTGTATCAGGCTTTTGAGGGGGACCTCCGTGACCTTGGCTTCATCGAGCATCCCTAGTGTCTCCTGTTAAACCATCTCATTGCCTCCAAGTCACTTTGCTTCCTATCGACCACACTGTGTTTATGGGTCCTTTCCTTACCTCAACCTATTTTATCGTATTTCCATTTCTTCTTTCTGAATTCTTTTCAAGTTCCTTGCTTCCACTCCTAAGCAAAGGGCACTCACCTTTCTAGAGTAAGCTTTAATCTTATTTAATTATTAAAATTATCTGATTTTGTCAGCAGTCTGTGTTCCTTAACTTGGTGGTGTTGGATGACACAGTCTGACTCAAGCATTTCCATTCATCATCAAACTAAATTTTATCAGGGTTAAGTATCTGCAGGGGATTAGTAGAACCTTATCAATAAGGAAACAAAACCCCAAAGAGATGAGGTGATGGAAAGGCAGTGTAGCTTAGTGTAGTAGATCCACATGCAGAATAGAGGGATTCTGTCAATCTCAATCCATTGGAATTACTTTGTTTATGTATACTTATTTTTCTTGACTGAAGGGTCTGAGCAAAGAGCATGTGAACAGCAGTTTATGGAAACTATTACCAGTTGGGTTTCACTGTAGGAAGGTGTGGTCTTTGGACAGACATGTATTTAATTATACTGGTGTGGAAACAGGAATTATAACACTTAGATAATACATACATTCTTATTTTGAGCCATTAAGTGAGATAGTGGTAATAAAAATTACTGGGATGTTTGAAGGTTCACTAAGTGTTCCATGCCTTTCCTCTACCCATGGTTTGATCCTCTAAGGTAGCTATAGTCCTATAAATGTAAAAAAATTGAATTTGTGTACTTTTTCTATCACTAAAAAACCTGGGATCTTATGAAAGTCTGTCAGTTATCTGTAATAAAGGCTTCTGACTTCAGGATACATAATCATAATAATTCTTTCCTCTGTGGTCACCATGGTTTCTATGGTACTATGGATTTGTGAATGTATAGGACAGTTTGTAAAATGGGAATTAGTAACAGGAGTATTAGTAATTGGTGCTGTTATTTTAGAAATAACAATCTTATCAATCTATCTTTTCAAGCTTTTTTAGAAAAAATTATTAATTGATAAATTCATGTAGAAAACGTATTACATAAGCTACCCATGTATGAAGCAGCAGGGTCAAATGGTGATTCAGCCAATATTCGATTGAGAAATACTATTTCAAATTAGGTTATGTTGTCTTAGTTCAAGGCTCAGTACTTGACAGATATAGCAATATTCCTTAGTATCTCAGACTTCTCCAGAGGAGGACTTCATATCTTTTGGGAGAGTGAACCGAAAGTTCAGAGGTGAATGCCTTTGTGTCATATGGTTCATAATTTAACTTTTAAGCTGTCTCATATAAGCCTTGAACTATTGAGAAAAGATTTCACTTGCTATGGTAAGAGTCCAAACAGGAAGTGTGCTGTATTGAATTGACAATGTAGATACATGGCAGGGAAATTCTGGCCATGACCAGAAGGACTTATCTACCTATAGGTGAAATTTTCCGAGAATCTGGGAGACTACTTATGAACAAAAAAGGATGGGAGTCGTTACACAAATGATTGTCACTTCTAGTTATTCCCTTTAAAATATAGACTATCTATATAATATAAAATATTTCTCACTTCTCTCTGTACATAATGGATGGTTATTATATAACCTTTATTTTATGAATGCATTGGCCTGTCTGGTAAGTAGAATCAGAATGTCTTAGTAGGTACCTAGCTTGGAGCTAGACTCTCCCTCATCTTACTCAAGGAGGATGAAAATCAAGCAAGCATAAGTTTTAGGATAATAGGGCTTTGTTCTGTGCTTTCTTTGAATGATAACATTTTAAAACTTTTCTATCTCTAATTGCAGAGAAAATTTCACAAGAGATTTGTGTGGTCATGAACACAAAAGATGAAGAAGAATCTGTAGGACAACTTCTTGAGGAAGTGCTAAGAAGTGAACTGAATGTAAGCATTCAAAGAATGAGTTGGATCAACTGTCACACATTTTTGTGGTATAAAGGCAGCATCATTGAAAAGGCGCACAGATCACGCAAACCAAATGTTGCTATTTCCTCCTCCTCTAAGATCCTTCATTCTCCTAATACTGGGATTGAAGCAGTTTAAATCCCCTGCCCATTCCTCTTGGGAATGGGTCCTTAACCTTCCTAATGCTGCAAGACTTTGGGGCCGTTTCCTCATGTAGTGGTGATCCCTAGCCATAAAGTTATTTTGGTGTTACTTCATAACTATACTTTTGCTACTGTTATGAATTGTAATGTAAATATCTGATATGCAGGATATCTGATACATGACCCTGTAGAAGTAATTATTTAGGGGGTTTTCTATGCTCCCTTGTTCTCAAATAACTGATGGGCATTTCTTTGTCCCTTCTATCCTGTTTTAGCTCCCAAATAAAGACACAGAGACCTGGTATTTTTATTAACAAGCTGCAAGCTTAAGCTTGGCAGGTTCTGAGCTATTCTAACCCAACGAGGCTGTTAATACCCAGCCGAATGTCCCGTTACTTGCCATCTTGTCTTGCCCTGGCTTGCTCTGGTCCATGTGTGTCCTCATGGCTGCTCCTCATTGTGATGTTATGGCAAATCCTCCTGGTCTCTCCACACCTCTTGTTATCCTCTCTTTCTCCCTTCCATCTCCTTGTTGGGACCCCCTGACTTAGTTTCGAAGGCCTTCTCTATTCTCTTTTGCTCAGCTAACTGGTTGATTGGCTCCTTATTAGGCAATCAGAGGTGATGGAAAAGAATGTTTGTAAAAACACTGAGAGTGGTGATGCTTCATAAAAATAACAATACCAAAACTCCTGCCTGTGTTCAACTCTCTGCAGATGCAGAAATAAGCATTTGAATAATACAAAGACATCTTTTACACAGCACACAAAACCATCCCCCAACATGACCTCTGTGTGGTTTGTGACTCACAGATTGAGAGCCACTGCTTTTGAGTGTTTCTCATGGTCCTAATCTTCATACGTGACATGTTCTAAAAGCCCTGCTTGTTGCTGTGTGCCACAGTCTGACTCAGGTACAGCTGGAGACTCAATTCCCAGCATATACTAGAGGCTAGTAAATTATGTTTCTTATAAGTATCAGAGATGAAGATGAAGGAAGAAAGGAAAGACAATTGTGGCCATGAGATAATCATGATATTGAAAAAACTGATATATTTGTATCAATTATGAATTGACCAGCTTCCTAGTTAAACTTCTGTTATTAAAGCTGGGAAAACAGAAGAAGCCATGTGATAGATACAGGAACTGTTTATATCTTTCACCACTGAAGATTTCTACAAGCATTTTATTTGTTTGTTTGTTTGTTTGTTTATTTTTATTTATCTATTTTTTAAATATTTTTTGGTTTTTCAAGACAGGGTTTCTCTGTGGAGCCCTGGCTGTCCTGGAACTCACTCTTAGACCAGGCTGGCCTCAAACTCAGAAATCCTCCTGCCTCTGCCTCCCAAGTGCTGGGATTAAAGGCATGCGCCACCACCACCCGGCTCTGGCTCTACAACCATTTTAATGACAGCTTTATGTTTTGAAATTTTTTTGTTTGCCTAGTTGATTCTATTATAGTTTAATTAATTTTGTGTTTTCTTTTTTGCCTTTTTTCCATTAATTAATTTATTTATTTATTCACTTTACAGCCTGATCATAGCCCCCCTTCTCCCAGTCTGTTCCTTACAAATCATTCCCCCATTATGCTTTGCCTTCTCCTCAAAGAAAGGAAAACCCCCTTGGGTACCACCCAGCCCTGGGGCACCTAGTCCCAGCAGGACTGAGCACATCCTCTCCTTCTGAGGCCTAATCAGGTAGTCCAGTTAAGGCAAGGGTATGGATTGGCAGGCAACAGAATCAGAGACAGCCTCCACCCCAGGTTTTTGAGGACCTACATGAAGATCAAGATGCACATCTCTACAAATGTGTAGAGCACCTAGGCCAGTCCCTGCATGCTCTTTGGTTGGTGGTTCAGTCTCTGTGATTCCCCAGCTTAGTTAACTCCTTAGCCTTTTTGTGGTGTCCTTGACCCCTCCTCTTGCTCATTTCTATCCCCTACTCTTCCACAAGATGTTCTGAGTTCTACCTGAGGTTTGGCTCTGTTTCTATCTGCTCTCGGGAGACAGTTATGCTAGGCTCCTGTCTGCAAGTGTAGCAGAGTATCATTAACAGTGTCAGAGGTTGGCTCCCTCCCATGGGATGGGTCTCAAGTTGGTCTAGTCATTAGTTGTCCATCCCCTCAATCTCAGTTCCCTCTTTATCCCTGGACATCTCGTGCACAGGACAGATTTTGGGTTGAAGGTTTTGTGGGTTGGTTGATGTCTCATCCGTCCACTGGAAGTACAAGGCTGCCTACTGGAGGCTTGCTGTATATCCAGGGACAAAACGCCAGTATAAGAACAGAATCAACAAAAGCCAGGACAATGTGACACCTTCAGGGCATAGCTGTCTCCTCAGCAACACAAACTCAAAGAATTGTGGAGATGGAAAGCTTAGGAAAGAAAACAGAAATAACAGATGCAAACATCAACAACAGAGTGTTAGAGATGCAAGAATCTGAGGTGTGGAAGCTATAATAGAAGAACTTGGTACCTCAGTCAGAGAAAATGTTCAATCTAAAAAATTGCTGACACAAAACATTTGGAAACACTATGAGATACCATGAAAAGACCTATCCTAAGAATCATGGGAGTGTAAGAAGGTAAAGAGTCCCAGCTCCAAAAACCAGAAAATAATTTCAAGAAAATCATAGAAGAAAATTTCCCCAACCTAAAGAAAGAAATGTCTATAAACATACATGAAACTTACAGAGCACCAGTTAGATTGGATCAGAAAAGAAAATCTGCCCATCACATAATAATCAAAACACTAAATTTATAGAACAAAGAAAGAATATTAAAATCTGCAAGGGAAAAAGACCAAGACCAAGTAACAAACAAAGGCAGACTTAGAATTACACCTCACCTGACTTCTCAACAGAGATTCTAAACGGTAGATGTACCTCTGTTTCCATCTGCTGCTCAATGAAACATCTCAGGAGGCAGTTATGCTGGGCTCCTGTCTGCAAGTGTAGCAGAGTATCATTACCAGTGTCAGGGGTTGGCTCTCTCCCATGGGATGCCACAGATGCCAACCTAGACTACTATACCCAGCAAAACTCATAATCATAACCATCATACACGGAGAAATCAAGAGCATTCAAGACGAAATCAAATTTAAACACCATCATTTTGTGTTTTTATTGAGGTATTTTTGCTTCCAAGACGGATTTATAAGTAACATGATGAATTTTTAACATATATAGTATGATCCCAAAAGTTCTTTGGTGTTAGGATTAGAATTTGAACAGTAGAGAAGCAGCCATGACATCCAGCAGTCAGCATCTAGAGGTCAGTTTTGCTGCCTACATTGATCAGCTTCTGCACTATATCAAGAACATCTACATTACAAAGTGGAAAAGGTACGATAAAAGATATTGATGGTGCAGATTCTCTGTTGTAGACATAAGCACACATTTAATGGCTGCTATAGCCTTTGTAGCAACTCTTCATTTCTACAATGCTTCATTTGCAGCAACTAGGCAAGTTTGAATCTGTTTTGTAGATATGTCTGCCTGGAGTACGTCACTACTTCTGGGAACATCGGTTTTCTTTTTTTCTCCTCATTTCTCATGCTTCCTCTAGATCCCACTAGTATTCTTTTTTTAAAGAAAGTCAGTTTCAGCTCCTTTTAAGGGGAAGTTCAAGCTTGTCCCATAATTTCTAACTCAGTGGCTGAAAGCTCCTTCTGAAGTTGTTTTCCTGAGAAGGGACCACTTAACTCTGTTCTCTCTGAGACCTCCACCTTTGCACCCCTCTTCTTAACTCATGGACCTTTTCGCTCTTCATGGTCTTATTCCTTTTTAAATCAATCTAGATATCTCTGCTGATACTCTGCCCCACAAGAGTATTTTAAGTTATACTTTTGAGAGTTCGGTGGCCCCACAACCCCAATATCCCTAGCAAAGTGAGAACTTTCATGCTTCTTCGTGTCACTCCAGTTTTTTTAAAACTGGAAGTTTGGGTGTCCTTTAAGATCTCGGTGGATGTTGGAATGAGTTGTCATTCCTGCTTAGCACTCTCTGGCTTCTCGTTTTCCTAACTGTTAACTACAGATCCCCATCGGGATGTCTGTCCTCTTTAACTGTTGTGACCTGACAATTTTGTGTGGCTTTCTGTACCTCGGTGCAGTACAAAATGCACTTATCTTCAAAACTACCCCATCATTTCCTGCCATTTCACAATAGAAGAAACTGTCCAGCTTTTAATTTGTATAAGGTCGTTTAATCAGTGCATCAATTACTGTTAGTTAATGAAAACTGCTTTTTGTTAATTAATATCTCTCAAGGGCAGATGAAAGAAAAAAATCAGTATGGCATTTTAAAATTTGACGGGATTATCGTTAAGTCTGAAAGGCTTCCTTGGTTAGGGATTTGTCTGCTTTTCTGTAGATTTCTCTCCCATTATAAAAGCAGGTTTATCTTGTGGCATTGGATTTTTCAGCCCATAATTTACAGAAAAGCACAAAATGGCGGAAATTGTAACTTTTTTCACCCGAGAGCTTTTGTCTGCCTTTGAAAAGTGCATATAAAAATGATGAAGTCACCGCTGCTGAAATCTGTGGGGAGATCAGTGTGGGTGTGGAGCTGGGCCTCACACAATGGGGGGATTGTTTTATTGATATGAATAGGAGAAATGTTTCCCACTGAAACCGAAGGAAGAGATTGGGTATGCTTATGGTAATTGCCTGGGAAAAATTTTGTAACATACACTTGGGGTGACCCAAATGTCTAACTGTAACATAATGGAAAAATACCGAATTCATGTATGAGGTGGCTATAAGTTAAATGGGGAAGCCTATATTCTGAAAAACACATTTTCTACCCCATACTCACATTCCTGCACATGTCATTGAC